CCCCGATACAGGCCACCCCCCTCACCCCTGTCTCCTCCCCCAACACACACGTGCCAGTCAGCACTGGCACCCAGCTAGTTCAAGCTCGGCTTACAGCTGAATTTTTCCTGAATTTAGAAATCTGACTTTTGTGAAATAGGACAGATTATTGTGAAGTAGTGTCTGTTAAAGCCTCGTGCTTGTTTGGTGGTCTGACTTGCAAGACTTTCCACTCCCCACAGTACTCGGTGTTTGGACCGGCCGAGCATTTAGAACCTGCAGGTTCTTAAGTTCATCATCCTTAAGTTCATTGTGTTTCACCGTAAACCCTGGTGGTTTCTTTTCTGCGTTACCAGATGTGCTGAAAGAAAGAAAGCTGTGTGCTCATTTTACAGATTTTAATATTAGATTAGTTTAGCTCCACATGTTCCAAGTCCTCATGCAGCATAAAAAAAGAACAATTTGAGTGAACAAAGACAGAAGCTGCTTCTTAAAACCAAACCAAGCCGTGGTTCTGTAGCAATCGCTGTGAAGCCAGGCACTTTGCTCTGCTGCGAGGCAGAACGGAGGGAGCCACCCGCCCCCCTGCTGCTACCGTCACAAAAGGCACAAGCTTTTTTTTATTATCTGCAACAAGAGGCATCTTTTATTTAATTAAATATCTTTTTAATAAAGTAAAGCAAAAACGTATGTACAATTGTCCCAAACTATAAATCAATGGGTGGGATAAATATGCAGGCACCTTCTGCCCACCGAGGAGAAACAAAATGTATAAATACAGGAGAAATCTGCTGCTTTGTGTCATTGGGGAAGGGGGGGGGGGGTAGCATATTTTTCCTGGAAAAAGAAAACCCCAAAAACCTCAGGACGAAAAACTATCCATGTATTTACAGAACTTCCTTGAAATGCATTTCCTCTCATGGAAGCAAAGGCCTTTAGACGTTGAACTGTTAAACGTTTTTTTTTCTAAAAGTCCTTTCAGAATAAAGTGAATTTTTGTCTTTTATTCAAGTTTTAAAGGTGAGATAATAAAAAAGAAAAAAAAAAGACATTGATGGGTTCAGGAGGAAGCAGCTGAGAGCACTTCATTTTCAGTCCACAGTTTGTTTGAAGCACAGGAAACAAACAGACACATTGGAAGGGGTGGGGGGTATAAAGGGTCATGGGCGTTATTGGGAAGGGTTCCCCCCGCCCTGTTCCACCAGCAGTTCATTGCCACATCTCAGATCAACTCTTCTCACGAGTCCATGACTGTTTCAGTCACTTCCATCTGAAATGTATGAGACCCCCGCTGCTGCTCGTCTTTGTACTTCTGTTATTTTATTATAAAACCCTCAGTTCAGTCAGCCGCTGCTGGAGACAAGAAACTTATTTTTTGGGGGGTCTTTTGGACTCTTCTGAAGTCCACAGAAACTGAGCCGACTCGGCGGTTCCTGTCCGACCGACCCAGCTGCTCCTAGCTGTTGTCGGATTCATCCTCGGCCTCGCGGAGCCACGTGAAGAAGGCGGTGACGGACTTGAGGGCCACGCCTTTGCCCAGTTGCTCGGCGGGGTCCTTACTCGACTCCCACTTGTAGAAGGCCTCCTCTTTGATCACGTCCTCGTCATAGAGGGTGTCAAAGAACATCCTCAGCAAATCTGAGAAAGAGATGAGAAACAATCAAAAAGATAAAGCAAAGAAAGACCTAGTACAGAGATTCATTCATTCATCGACTCATGGGCCATACTGAGGGCCTCAAAAGTACAACAGTTTTTAACTTTGGGCAGCAGAGGGCTGTTGGACCACATTGATTTTGAAAAAGGTGCAATACACTTTCTCACCACTAGTAGCACCACTCAGATGTTTAACACTGTGTTATACATAGAAGAAGAATCTTAGAAACCTGCTGAAAGTGGAAACTCAGGGCCTTTCCCAATCGGTGGCTACACATTTGCCATACTCCCAACTCACTCAGTTTGAAAGTTTCCCATGACGAGTTGGCCATATTAAGTCCCATCCGAAACCAGTTAGGTACAAGGGCGAGTGGCTTATTAAGCACTCCACAGCGAGTCTGCATCCGATGCAGACTTGAGCAGCATGTGCAGCACCAAATATAAGTTTCGCATATGTTTTGTACACATATTTACTAAATGAACACCTCAACAACAAATATAATTTCACATAAATCATGTTTAATTCTATTAAAACTTTATTAAAGACACAGAACCCTGGTCCATATTTAAAATAAGAAGAAAAGAGGAAAAAAAAGAAAAAGTAAATGATTTTAAAAATTTAAAAGTGCAATTGTTTTGACAAGTTATCACACTGTGTTTGTTACAAATACAGTCATATCTGAAAACTCTAAAATGTGGGCCTAATTAAATATTTTCTTTGGTCCTATTGAAAAAAGCATTTGTTCTCCTGCATTCAGTCGCTGCCAGAGGTTGGACTGTTACCATGGTGATGACAGTTTACTGTTCAGGGGTCGGATTTATAAAACTGGCGTACGCACAATTTGAGCCCAGAAACTTGCGTACGCCACTTTTTACGCCAAGGTTGTGTTTTATAAAATCCAAACTTGACGTGAAAATGTGCGGTGCCTCAGCCAGCTCTGACCCATGCGTACGCTCATTTTGGAGAGGTGAAACTGCGACACAGATGGTGAAGTGAGGAATTAGAGCCACACTGTGTAAAGATCAGTCAGATATTTAATTTACCTTCATCAGACTTAGATTTTTATTCAACTTTATCATCAGCTTTCTTAACAGTARTATTTATGCTTCTGCTGCTGCTGCTGAGCCATGAGGACCTCTGAAATAAAAACAACTTAAATCTTAAAAGTTCCCGTGCGTGAAACTCCATTCATCTGCTTCCACCTCAGACGACCCTGACCCACACAGACCCCTCCCCGACCCACAGACCCCTCCC